TATAAAATGACTGAAGAATAGATTTTATTTTTGAAAACTTTGCCACCCTGTATCTCAAAAGTTAAGGCGTTTAGGACATACGTCCATACGACGTTTTTTCCTTAAAATGGGTCTAAGAATTACTTCCTTAAATATTAGCATGTGTTTAAAGAACACCCTGTATAAAGCATATGTTTCGAGTTTGAAGACGCTGCGTTATTTAGTATTTTTTTCAGCCATGGGTAACAAGATCTATTTTTTTGGAACTTCTGTCCAAGGGCACCGAAAATTATGATCCAGGGCTCATTCGATTCGGAATGACCTTTAAATTTAGTAAAAAAGGGAGGGGTTTGGTTTTTTGCAAATATCTCGGAAAATATTAAAGATAAACGAAATTTCAATAAATACAGTGTGTCTCACTTCTCATGGAAACACCCCCGTATCTTCCGTAATATTCGAGGTAGAAAGATGAAACTCTCTGGACTGATGGAAATGCTCAAAATGCACCTACCACCTGAATGGGGTTAAAATATACAAATAAATAAATAAAAAATAAGTAACGGCTCACCATCATAGCGTTTTTCATGGACGTCATAAAAGTACTGCCTTTTCGTTTTCCAGCATCAGAGTTCGACCTATTCCTAAATACATGTTTGCTAGGACTAGAATTATTTGAATGTCTCAATTCTGGCGTATTCGACTCGGAATTCGAGGCAGTGGTCGGATCAGAATGTTTTTCGTTTTTTCTTCTAGAGTCCAATTTATCATCGCGTAAAACTTCTTGTGGCAAATCTTGTTGAGAATCAGAAGACCACGTTCCAGATTTTTGATGAGGAATACAGGTATCATCTTTTGAAAATAACGATGGCGTTTCGGACGATTTGGATTCCTAGAAAATACGTAATTGCATTGTAATAACACAGAATATGTAATACTATGAATCAGTTTGTTTGAAGGTGGTTGACAATGTTTCGTGGTGTATTTCACCAGTTCGGATTTCCATTGTCTAATATAATATAAATTGATTTTAAAACCCTGAAAAAACAATTAAAAAATTAATAAGATTAACCGACANACGAATAAGAGAAAGAGAGTAGGACCCAGGACACTACCTTGGGGAACACCTGTTAATATGTTACGATTTTCAGAATGATATATTCCAGATTTGAGCCAGTCAGATAAGTCTTAATCCATTTTAGACTTTGGCCGCGAATTCCAGTATCATAAAATTTATCGAGGGGAAGTTGATGGTATCAAATGCACATGACAAATCAAATAGAATACAGATCGATTTTTCGCCATTTTCAAATTTGGATAAAACATGATTGACCAGAGAAAGAGTAGCATCTTGGGTGGATAAACCAGACTGGAATCCATATTGGCTCTTTGCGAGTAGGTTATACTTTTTACAGAAGGATACAAGTCTGATGAGATAGGATTTTTCGAAAATTTTTGAAAATGAAGACAGTAATGCAATACCTCTGTAGTTGGAGTTCAAGTGCTTATCATTTTTCTTGTGAACAGGAACAACAATAGCATGTTTAAGACACGAAGGAAATGAACCCTCAAGGAAAGAGAGATTAAGTAGATATGTAAGTGGTTCAATGATTAGTTCAGCAACATACAACAATACTCTACCTGGTAATTCGTCAATGCCACTAGAGTTCTTAGACGATATGAACTTGATGATATCAAGAAGTTCAGTTTCGTCTAAAGGATGAAGAAAAAAAGAGTTTGTTTTCATATCGTGATGCAGGTTCAGAATCATTGATTAGAGAATTTACAGAGTCAATGAAATAATCATTGAAGACTTGAGGAATAACAGAACCACCAAAATCATCAAAATCAAAATTAACTTCATTTCACTGTTAATACAACCAAATATTTTAACTAAGACTTCAACTATTATTCAAATGTCTATCACCTTGTTAGATCGCTCTGTACTGCACTGTCCGCGAAACTTTTCTTCACTTGACTATATCGATATGGTCGTAGCTAGCGTTAATATATGACAATCGAAAGGCCTCGAAAGTGGTAGAATATTCGCTGGAATTCTGTCACGAATTGAATTTCGCGAGCTCCAGTACATGGACCGCCCAATCAGAGTGAACATCAAGAAAATACGTTTTTTCAGGATATTTCAGCTTAGTTTTGAAAATCAAGATGTGAAATACCGTTTCCTAAGTGTTAGGATAATCATTTTATGGAAAATGAGCTTTTTAGTTATTTGGACAGGGAAATCGAGCTTTCTTCAAAGACTGTTTGATTTCGTTTATCGTACGACGCATATTGAGGAAGCGAGACGACGTATGAACGAAATGAGATGGCAAACACCGCTTGCATAAAAACAGGGTCGTAAACGTAGTCATCAGTGCTGCCGTTAAGGTACTATTGTACCGCATTCGGTACTATTCCATGATTTTGATACGAAGATACTACCCGGATCAATATGTAGACTATTCGGTACTATTTACTATAATCCCAATTTTTTACATTTTCACGTTGACTCCCATCGAGTACAGTAAAAAATAACAACAATATGTGTGGCAACAATGCAATTCCGTGTTTCAAGTTCCAGATCAGCAAATACCGTACTTGTGTCAAAATTGCGGGCTATCATCATAACTCTGCATTATTTAATCCTGTGTTCTGTATTGTGCCTGTGAACTGTGGTTCTGTCATCTGTCAGTCAGTCAGCAGAACAGCAGTTTCAACTTCTAACCTCACACCTCACCTTGAGAAATTGGTTTTATTGTTTTGTCAAAATAAATAGAAATATGGACAGGTAAAAATAAATTCTCGAATCTAGCTACTTGAAAACGTCTTTAGTATTGTTCATTCTATTGTGACAGAAACCTAATTAAAACAAAACACATTTGCAATCGTGAAAGAGCAATTTGAAGAAGGAAAAAGACACCTTTTTATCAAATGTTCTGATTATGATCTTTCTCTTAAGGAACATTTCTTAGTTTCCAGCAAATTTTTTACTCCATATATTTTCCGAATTTAAATGGATAACATTATTACACGTTTGGCATTACTGGCATTTGGTCTGAAATGACTTATGCGCATGTGCCATGCCTAGTCTTGCGCAGTACATTTTGGGTACTATTTTCTTGTGAATTTCGGTACTTTTTGAATTGACGTTGCGGCAGCACTGGTAGTCATCGGAATTTGGTGGACACGAATCGTACGATTTAAGCGACTGGTGATTGGTCGAGAGGCATCGGATGACGTTACGGGAAGAGTTTGTCTATTTTCTATAAATATGTGAACGTCTTGGAAAAGTTAGTTAGTTGGTGTTGAACGTGAGCTTGTACTAGTCGCTCTTGAAAACTTGGGAGAATTTCTATTCTTTTTGGACTTGGAAGATTTTCGTTGCGATTTTTACTGAAGAGAGTTGCGGTTGCAGGTATTTGGTGATATGCAGCGAGTGGATGGTCAATAGTTCGGCAAAACTAAGTGGATTTTGTCAAGGAATAGATTGACTTGTGGAATTTTTGTTGCAGAGCATTGGGTTGCCATCAAGGTTCCTTTTGGCACTCCGCCATATGACAGCAGTCTACAAAAACCTGCAGAAGAAGAGCAGGTCCCTACTGAAGTTGCTCAAGCTCAGGTACCCTGTGGAAACCAAACGGTGTCAACGAAGCGGTATATCGAGTTTAAATTTGAGTGGGTCAAGACATCATTAATTGATGTCTGAAGCTTGCTGGAAAATAATAAATTTCGAGAGAAATAAATACGATTTAAAACCAACAATCAAACTATCATCTGATGAGATGAACAACTTTTTCAGTAACATTGCTGATAATATCATTAATTCTCTCCCGTATGTTGCAAACGAGGAGGTTTTTAACTAATGAACTCATGCAGCTTATCTGAATAATGTGTTGTTAACTTATCTTGTTTGAGTTATTTAATTTGTCATTATTCCCAAGGGTTTTCCAGTCGGGGTTTTCCAATTGGTCTTCTAATGGACGGGTCTTTTCTAATCCACCTATCCTTATGAAAAGATAGGCTC